TGCCCGAGAGACACAGGTAGGCACCGAAGTCCCAGCTGGCGGAAGGGAGGTCACCCTGCGGCGAGACAAGCGGCTCAGTGTCTCAGCTAGTCCGGGAATAGACGCCGTAGCCTGTTTCTGACTCAGGACAGGCCTGAGGACCAAATCACGTTGTCTCATTCCGTAGACCTTCAGGGGCCACAACGTATCGTTCAAGTGTCAGGAGTGGTATAGAGCGTGGCCTTGTTCCTCCCCAGTGTATTTCCAAATACTTGGCCTCCAAGCGACTCTCAGGCCCGACCCTCCCCTGAGCCGGGTCAGGGGAAGTTGTGCCTCAGGATTTACTCACCAGGAAGGAAAGGAGGCTTCCTTTCTCTGCCCCAAAGAGCCGGCTGCAAGGCTTCCTGCCCGCCCTCCTCTCCGAAACGCTGGCGGCAGCGCCTCCTGGTGGAAACCTGCAGCAAAGGCCCCGCAAAGTCCCCAAAGACCCAAAGGCGCAGGGAACGTGCAGGGGGCGGGAGGTGATGCCCAAAGGGGACGGGCTCCCCGCAGGTCCCGCTGATCGTTGTTATGAAGAGTACAGATGTCGCAGGACCAGATAATTTGGTTTTTCAAGACGAATGAGGAACTTGCCTATGGAAAAAAACAAACAAACCCAAACCAACTGTACAAGCCAAAGAAAACAGGAGGTTAGCCAAAGTTGAGAGCTGCAAACCTCCGGGAAGCCCTGATCTTCGTGGAGAAGATGAAACATTAATAACAAGAGTTAAATCCCAGCTCGTACATGAGGAACCGTCTTGGTAACAGAAACATGTTATATAAAATATAAAAGTCACAACGATGAACGTATTTGACAAAAAGAGAACAAGTTTATTCATAAGCTTGTTTCTGAGTTTTCCCATCTATATTTGCCTGTTATACTGATTTTATATATATATATGTAATGTGAACCAGCAGAAACTAGGAAGTTTCAGTAAAAATGTCCATGAGGGTGTATTTGAACTTTTTAGGGAAGAAATTCATATTCCTTAATCCAACATGCAAAGCCTGGACAATTTGGCCTCACCCTGCCCCATCACCCCACCCCCTACAATGTCCTGCGTTGCCCTGACCAGTCATCATTTCAAACTATTTTCCTCCAAGAACACTTCAGGCTTTTTCCGAAAATTATATTTCTCTTTAAAGTGCCCTTCCTCACTTTTCCATTTTTAAACACTCCTATGCATTCTTCAAAATCCAGTTCACACATTACCTCCCACCAAAACCCCATTGACACAATACCTCCCCAAGCCTTCAGGCACAGCAAGCTACCCACCCCCAACCTGTGCTTTCAAAATTCTAAGCCCATATCTCTAGTATAACAATCATTTTGCATATGTTATAATTCTTTTTTTTTATTTCAGAGAGAGGAAGGGAGAGGGGGAGAGAAACGTCAATGATGAGAGTCATTGATGGGCTGCCTCCTGTATGCCCCCGACTGGGGATCGAGCCCATGACCCGGGGCATGTGGCCTGACCCAGAATCAAACCGTGACCTCCTGGTTCATGGGTCAACGCTCAGCCACTGAGCCACGCCGGTCGGGCTATATTATTTCTTTATACATCTTTTGAAATCTACCCAAAGATATAAAGCTTTGCAAACACCTCGTAGATTAGAAGCCGGGAGGGTAGGTTTGCTGTCTGTTTTGCTCGCCCACGGATTGTAAGTAGGGTAATGTTAAAAATATATTTTAAAACAATTTTGAATTTTTGGAATAAGTAATAATTTTCGTGATTCAAAATGAGAAAGGTATCAATGTGTGTAGGACTGAAAAGTTTCCATCTCTCCCAGTTTCTCTTCTTATCAGTAAATGATGTTCCTTTTATTTTGTTTTATATCCTCTGGATGAAGTCCACATTCCTTTCCATACAGTGTAATTCTTTCTCCCATCTGGTCTTGTTTACCTTCCCGGCCCTCTCCCTGCACCCAGGCTTTGCCCTCTGCTTCCGAGCCTGTGCTGAATTTAGCCCTGTTCTCTGTCACCCTCTCCCCCACTCTCTCTTCACTTAACGAAATGTCCCTCATCAGTCTGGCCACAGCATCTCTGCCCACAGTGGGTGCCCAGTGTCCCCATGGGTCCCAAGAGCCCCCTCCCCTCCCCTCCTCCAGCTGTTTTCTCCTTGCAGCCAAATTGTCTGCTGATGGGATTCCTGGAAGGGTCCCAGCCCCTTGAGATCAGAGACTCCCCCAGTCATTGTGGAAGACTGGAGACCCCTCGGAGGGCACACAGCGGGGCTGGGGTGACAGTCGCCTTCCCTGAGAACAACAGCCAGCCATTTGTGTCCACTAGCTGGCAGTCACTGAAGGTACTGGGAGACAGGCCCTGTCTCCATTTCGACGGAATGGCTTCGGGCCCTTGAGAAGGACATTTCTGAGGTGTGGGCCATACACACTCCCCTCCGCCAAGGGACACAGGAGTGATTCACAACCAGAAGCCCTTTTTAGTAAGTGCTCCAAAAAGAGGCCGTCAGGGGCCCCTCTCCCCAAGTCGACTGGACCCAAAGGAACCCTGAAACCTCCAGGCGGCATGATAAAGGAGTGGGGTTGGGGGGGCTGGGGTTGTTACAGAACTCAAGGGGCTCCCCACTTAGGGTGCTCTATTCAACAATGAGATGTGGCTGTCGCAGGGTAGTTTTATGGACTTGCAGCCAGTAAAAAACGAATCAGGGGATGCACACCCCAAACCCTGCCTTCTGCAGGGGAAGCGTCGCCGTGGCTCCCACGGGCCACTTGTTCAGTCACGCGCGGATTTCTCCTGGGCAGCCGGCTGCTTTCATCCCCCCGGGTCCTGCCCGCTCATCTTCACTGCTGCGTCTGCGACACATTTTCACACCGAGCGGGGAATAAGCCTGAGGCCTGCCCAGACCTTGAGACCCTGGTCCTGTCTAGCAGGGTCACCCTGGAGACTTGGCCTTGGGCGGCAAGAGGCGGTGCTCGAGTTGGGGCGCAGAGCAGACGCCCCCCCCCCCC